GTGTGGAGTTCCATACAGCCCTGACTTTGATTGTCCTTATCGTGGGGCCTTGGAAGAAGATATGTTTCTACAAAGCACAGGGCTACAACTCTCAACCTCCCTAAGTTCCCCTCTCCAAGGGCGGGTATCAGGAGTCGTGTTTTGCAGTTGTTGAGTCGAGCTACCAAGTCAGTTCAGTTCGCCAACGTTTGGATGTTTGGCTGCCCTTGGAGTCCAACAACCCGATGCTCAAACACCGCGTGAACGCTCATCCGCTGTGCGCGCAGGACTTATCAATGCGCAAGAGAAATAAGAACCAAGACGAGGCCCAGCTGTGGTCGGAAACGGAATGGATCCCACAAAAGGGTCCCACGGCAGTTCCCACGGCATACCGGCTGCTTAAAGGGTATCCATGCGCGACTTGTCATGCAGGGAACCTGGAATGGGCTTCCCCCCAACATCCTCAAAGCAACACCGCGACCGACATGTGAGGATGGAAGTTGATGTCCATGCATAGCTGGTCTTCAGACTAGTCCTGGTACTGGGCTAGGCGGCCGCTGTACAAGAGGGACACCAATGCCGGTCTGACGTTCTGACACCGATTCACGAGCCAAAGCCTGTGGGGAGGGCACAGCCGTTCCCGGCGCCCTGCTGGGGACGACAAGCCACCCTTTCGTGTCTTCATCGTTTGGTTCTGTCAAACTGGACGGCAAAGAAGTGAACGATTAGCTACCAGGGAGCGGCAAGTCGATCTGGGTCCGAACGATCTTACGCACTCGATGAATTGGGTTGCTTGACCAGAGGGACGCTTGGTGACTTAACAATACTTGGTCGTTTTCCCAAGACATCCTTATACGTTGCGCTTGAGACATCCAGTCTGTGAGCACTTGGAGCGGCAGCGACAGAAGCCATTGTGTGCGTTTTCTGTGTTTGTTTTTGGTTTGGCCCTTCTTTTTTGGGGGGCAGTTTTGAAGCATATTGCCATATTGCTTTGCCGCAATCAAATTCCTGCAAAGCACTTGGAGCCGCTGGGGTGTGGTTTGCCGCTTTCCCAAGCAAGCTTTTGGAAAGCCAAAATGGATGTAGCTCTTAAAGCTCGGCTTCGCTGGTCTCATCGATCTACCCCTGTGCCGTGCTCGCAAGGGAGACAGCCGACCCCTTCAGCCGATGCTGGCACACCGTTTGTGCTACATGGAAGAAATCCGCTACCTGCAACCTACATAGATGTCATCTGAACACATTAAAGAGCAAACTGAGCACAATATTTTGACCCAGGTGTCTACTGAATTAAGATCCCTTCTTTGTTGTCTAAGACTTAAGTTTCACACCAGTCAGAATGGTCAGCTCGCCGGCCTTTGGCCGCTGCGTGCCCTTTGGCGCTTCCGTGCTCATTCTCGGAGCTCGCAGGGCATCACGGTCTTCCGTGTGGAGCCAGAAGCGTCGATTTTGGATCCCAAGACCGCTTACAGGCACCGGTGGACGGGCGTCTCCGCGTGCGAGAACCGGCCGCGTGCGAGGCCAACGAACGGAGTTCGGGTGGGGGGAGTCGATGAGAACTGGTTCGTGACGTTGCTGTGACCAAGGCTTAGAGAGAGGCATGTATGGGAATGATGAATTGATCAGAAGTACTTGCTGCCTGAAAATATGATGTTGTAATTATACGGAATACATTTTGTGGGTTTCAGTTTCAATGAGGCAGTTGGTTGAGATACTCTACTTCTTTTATTCTCTGGTATCACAGGGGAAGTATGCGGTGGTTTGAAGAGTGTGTTCAGTAGGGATGATAGGCTAAACCCTTCGGCCTCATTGACCGTCAGTCCCCAGAGCAAGGCTGCAAGGAGTTTCCTGGAGGGGAGCTGCATTGGCCGAATGATCTTGCTTGGATGGACAACCAAATGGCGTGGAAGTGTAGACAGTGTTTGTCACCGATGGGGTTTCCAAAACCCCTTCGGCTCAAACACTCCCACGCAGACTATATATATATTATATATGTATATATTATATAGCATTATGTTGCACATCTTAGTATGCAGTATTTATATACACATATAGTCGACACCCTGCCGGTCAACCGGTCCAACCTCGTGTCGCACCATCTCGGTCACCGGTTCGGTGCATCATGGCCTGACCGGGCAGGTTCACCTTTATGGCCTCCAGCCAGACGCCCGGCACGGTGGAGGACGCAGAAAGACGCAGACAGACCGGACAGGGCCGGAGGAAAGAAAAGAGAACAGGTGTGCAGAACAGAGCACACTAGCTCAACACCCTTCAAAAAACACTGTATATACCATGCAACATTTCAATGACTGCTCTGCAACCTAGGCGATGCGCATATTTTCCCATCGTCCTGTGAGCCCAATCTGGAAACCCTAGTTCGCAGTCTCAACTGAGGTGAACTGGCGTGGGATTTGGCACGTGGAGCTCGAAAAACTCTCCCTTAATTGTATGAGAGAAACCACCTGACAAAAAGACACCTGACACAAGACACATCATAATAGGTGTCACCTTCCAAGCCAAGAGAAGAGAGAGATGGGTTCCCATTGTTACTTTCAAACACAGGTACATCAGTCATCATCAATCCATGAAACGTTCTTTTACAAACCATCAAGTGCCAACACATTCCTAAAGGCATCTTCTGGCAACGGTACCTTCGCTGCGCTCGTCCTCTCTCTCGGGCCACGGTGGCGTGCACAAACCTGCGAGGACGAGCTGGTTTGCACCGAGATCGTCGAGAAGGGCGGAGGAGGAAAGACCATCTTTAGGACGGAATGCCGAAGAGATGTCCATGCTCAGTTGGCAGAATGATCAGAAAGCCCTATGTTGGGAAGACAAGTTTCTTCTACACCTTGTTTTCTTTTGTTTTCTTCCCACTCTCATGTTATTTGGATATATTTGGTCTGAATGTGTTTGTTTGCAACGACCACACAATTGGAAAAGCCATAGCCTAGGCTGTCACAGAAATGGTTTCTGTTGCCTTCCCTAAGGGGTTCCCCTTCCTGCTCATGAAGAAGCGATGCCAGCACCCCAAACTGAGTGAAGTATGCTGCCTTTGAAGGTGGGCAGTGACTTTGTAATACTGTACTTCAGCCTGCAACAGTTGTTCAGAAAGAAACTTGGTGTTCATGAACAGCTTGGCACTTCTTGAGCAAGTGCCGAACCATGAATGACCTAGATGTCCACCGGACCTTTTGCAGCAAACCATGCAATGTTCTGTTTGCCAACCGGGTGAAGCCATGTGTCAGTGAAGCCAATCAGGGCATAAGAAAGCATTCAACTTTATGGTGCAGGACCAGGATGAGGGCCAACTTTGTTCAGCCGCAACTGAAGCTACTTGACTTCCAACAAAGAAGCCTGGAGGATCACGCAAAGACCTGTCCCGAAGCACTTTGATCATCAGAAGCAGTACAGTAAAACAGAACAAATGTGAGCAAAGGTGCGATATTCATACATCCTCACAAGCAAATTAAATTACCAGGTCATATGAATTGGTCAAAATGAATTTTGGGATTCTCTCGGAATTTCAACCCATTGAGATGGTTTCTTCTGGGTGTCAAAAGCTAAGCTCTGTGGGGAAAGATGGGAAACTGCAGCGTTCGGAGAAGCCTTTGAGGGTGATGGAGAACTTGCATGTTTCCGGTGCTTGTGGGGAACTACGCTGCTATATTGACAGATGTTAAGTGTTGCTAAGATTTTAACTCTTTCCTAATCTCTTCGTGGGACGGTGAAACAAGTGCGCAGGCTCTCTTTGGCCCATCAGAGTGCACCCTAGTAGCAGAAATCACACTCCAAAAGAAAGAGGGTTGGATGGGTTCGGTATGTTCGAGGGAGGAGACAACTCGGCTCTTGAAGATGTAGACATTGGACATATCATGACATACATATCATATATTCATGTCGTTGTTTCACTTGAGATCAGACAGCCCTTGGCCATGTTGGAAATGGAGAAGCTGCTTGCATATCTCCCAAGCTGCTTGTTAATGGACTCTCCTTTTCGGGGAAAACAAAACACACCTCAACGGAGTCACTTCCGCATGGTGGATTTGTCCATATTCTGACTGGTGCTTAGTAAAGAATGAGGGAATGGATCCTGTGGTATCTATAGTGAGGGGTCATTCTCTCATTCCCTACTAAGCACCAGTCAGTATTCTGTGATGCTGAGTACTGAAGATGCCCCATGAAGTATAGATCGCCAAGGTGCCTCCAATGCAGCGAAGCTAACGTCCAAGGTGCCTCATCCTGCATCCCACCCACATCAACATCGTCCATCGGATGAATTCCAGTCCTGTCGTCCCAGGCTGTCGCGGAATCGTATCGACTTCGAATTCTTGTGGGACAAGAATCGGTACGAGACCCAGTGGAGGCTCCATGGATTCGCTTCGGAAGCGGAGGTGGATGGAGAGGAGGAGATCCTTCTTCGCATTCAAAAAGGGTGTGTATTTGAATAGGAAGACCTTCTAACCCCAGGCAGACCCAGGGAGACGTGTCATTTTGCAGTCCTTGGGGTTTCACTGGGGGGTGTTCTCTATTCGAATACACACCCAGGCCATCCCAAGCCCCATATGATCCCATATGCAGGTGTAGCCGTGCGACCTGTTCTGCCAGGCATTGAGTTTGTTGCCTGCAGATCGAGCTTTCCACCGTGCGCAGCAGGTCCACCTGTGCCCTGGTAGTCTCCATTTCTGGTAAAACGGTACTGGACCGGAGCAACAACATGAAGGGTCCTCTTGCGTCCAGTCGCGTGGTCTCGTGATGTCTCGTGCGTATCAGTTTGAGTCGATTGAGAGACGCTTCCAACGAGCAGCTTGTCCAACACGTTGGCAAGACCTGGTTCAACCACCCCACTTCCAAACACCGAATACGCTGAATTTGTTGGTGGCAAGAGTTGATCCAGGCTACAGTAATTTAATTGAATGTACTTGATATTGTTATATTCTTATTGCAAACCGAAGCGTAGTTGATCGGCAGCTTACCCATCAACACTGTCCTCGAAGGTGTTTTCCATCACTCTTCCACCACTTTGCAGAATGTTGGCTTCGAGAAGCTCGGCCCGCTCGTCGTAGTTCAGCGCGGCCGCTGAACTCAGCCATGAGAATTCGAACACGACAGATGAATGGCACAGTTGCAGAGGTCGAAGCAATGCCAGACGCTCGGATTGACTATGACGTGATAGCATCGTCCGGATCGAATGCTTTTGGAGCTTGTTTGGTACAACAAGTATATTTACATATATTTACACCCATCCGCTGGTCCATCCGAACGGATATGTACAGTAATACAAATTGACATATAATATACATACATATATATATATATATACGTACCCAATCACTCCATGTATAACAAATGTTGCCTACGTTGGGCTGGTTTCAGGGGTCAATGTAAGCATACATTCCATACATGGAGTGTTTTGGATATGTGTAATTATTTGCATACTATGTATACCTTCAGCTTACCAGAGCTTGTCCTTTCTGAACGTGGGTCTTAGCATGAAGGGTTTTCTTATGGTTGGGTGATGTGTCATGTCATGACTGCCAGCCTTCCCCTTCCCACTCTCAGCCACGCGGACATATGTTCCCCCTCGTGCTTTCTCAAGTTGTGGTCCACATCATTTGAAGATAATCTTCATCAGACTCCCATCTCCGCAGCATGGTTTGAGGATCAACACTGGAAGGTAATAAGGTAATAAGGTTGAACACAATTGAACACTATCTACCACCCTTTTTGGTTGAGACCATGGACGCATCATTTTGGGCTGGCATAGCCACTGAAGGACTGGCAACTTCAAGATCTAGCTGGAACACACCCAGTTGCAACTGGGAGAGTTCATTTAAAACTTAAATACCTAGCACTTCCAATGGGTGCCCTGTCTGGAGGCTATAAGTAGGGTAGTGTAGTCGATTGGACACCCATTGGATGATCCTGGTATGTGTAATAGATAACTACTACTCCCTGTTCGGATGGTTCGTTGTCCCATGAGTCCCATGGTCCCGGAGCTTTCGAGCGGATGTCGGCACCCAACCAGCATGAAGCACTGATTGTGCCAGAGGAACGTGATACGGTGTTTTCGGATTTGTAGCCACTTCTTGTTGGTTACACCTGCTTTACAGGATTAGGCTGTTGATTCACATTCCGCCGATCATCAAATGAATCATCGACCACAATATGTTCTTCAATCACGAAGAACATGTGTTTTGCACCAAAACAGGGTCCCTTGAACCAGTCCTCCCCGTTTGGGTATTCCATGGACTGCTAAGGAGGGCATTTTAGGAGGCTGATGTGAGTTTTGGCACGCATTGCATTGGAGCAAATCAATTCTTTGTTTGACACCAATTCTTGCATGTGGGCGGGGTTCTTCTCCAATGGCAATGCCTGTGCAGGCATGACTTTCACAGAGGGGAATTGTCCAACGCAGCCCCCTGATGCGGATGTCCACCCACACGTGTTTTTCGACCCAGACAGGATCCACACGTTCCGTTTCTTTCATTTGTCATTCCATGTTTGTGGACACACGAGCAACCGGGAGGGACATTGAACCACCAGAACCTGAACTCACTAAACAAACAATATTTTGCTGCCGATACCATCCCAGTGCACATGTTTGGAATCCAGCCTGCAAGCTGATAGGGGCCGGCGCTCGCATGAGGAGACCATCCTCCGTGAATTCAAGCGCAAGCTCAAAGATTTGCATCAAGGTGAGAGTGAGACCACTCGCAGATTGACCACGGTGCAAGTGGTTCTTGGGCTTCAGAAATTGCACGGAGATTTCAAAACGCTCGAAGAAGCAGGCATCTCCGATGACGTGGAGGCGTGGAAAAGTTCGCTGAAGAAAGGGGACTGGAGAGTTGGATTGCGGTTGCTGGAGTCAGTTTGTTTTGCATCGGAATCATTTCACCATGTTTCACCCACTCTATTCCATGTAACGGCATGTTCCACTTCTGAACTCCATATTATATCTACTGTACATCAGGGTCCCGCCAGTTCAGCATTTTTCAGGTAGAAGGGACCCAGGGAAGAACGTCAGATTGTCGAATTAAGCACGTTCCAGTTCCATCGGTGTCTCCAAAGAAGAAAAAGGAACATAGGACGACCGTCGTGCTGGTTTTGTTGATGGAGGTCGAGACTCCCTGGCAGGTACAGATTGTCTTCCAGGAGGTCGAGCCGGTGACACTTGCAGACAAAAATGCATATCTTGGTTCCATGGAGGAGCTGAATTCTGTCATCATCCCACCTTGGCATGAAGGAATGCGACCTGCTGCCTTTCAAGCTTGCAGGTCTTTGATACGAGTGGAAATTTCTGACTCAGTGCGTGACATTGGAGAATTTGCCTTTATGAACTGCGACCAGCTAACAACAGTGATCCTACCTAGCTTTGTGCTCAGGATCGGAAAGGGTGCCTTCATGAACTGTCAGCGTTTGACAGCCTTGACAATCCCCGAATCGGTGACTCAGATTGGATGTGAAGCTTTCAGAAACTGCAGGTCACTGACTGAGGTGAAGATACCCTCTCTAAGAGTCATTGAAGCTTTTGCGTTCACGAGCTGCGTTGCTTTGGCACATGTGGTCATCTCCAACTCTGTTTGTAAGATCGGAAACAGTGCCTTCAAGGGCTGCAAGTCCTTGGCAGCATTGAACATCCCCAGTCCGGTCATCGGCATCGGAAAGGAAGCCTTCCACAATTGCTTCTCATTGGCAGAAATCACTCTTCCCAAGTCGCTGAGAACCATTGACTCTCTTGCCTTTGCCAACTGCAGTGTGCTGGAACGAGTGAGAATCCCGGACTCCGTTTCTCACATTGGAAACTATGCCTTTAGCAGGTGCCATTCATTGGCTGATTTGAGCATCCCTAACTCTGTGACGCACATTGGAAGGGAGGCCTTCGGTCATTGTGGTTCATTGTGCGAATTAACCATCCCGAACGGAAAGGCTGTGCTTGGAGCTGGTGCCTTCATGAACTGTGGCTCCTTGGAATCTTTGACTATTCCCACCTCGGTGTGTCTCGCGCCTGATGCCTTCAGCGGCTGCATCCGCTTGAAGACGCCGCAAGTGGCCTTGGAGGGTTCCGATGGCACGTCGCGCGCGCACAAGAGACGATGGCAGGATGTAGAGTGAGGCCGAGTTGGCCCGAATATGCGGTTTTGGCAATTTTAAAAAGGAGGGGCTTGTCACGCTTGTCTCAGTGAGAATGCTTGAATCATCTTGAATCAACTTAGTGTTGGAACTCAGGTGGTGTTGTACGCATCAGAATCAGACACTTCATTGTTAGTTCCTGGTGTGTGTGTGTGTATCCCGGAGTTTTTTTCCTTTTTTCAGGAGAGATCTGGGGTATGTTTTTGCAACATGTTGCCCCACCATAATGTTCAACTTAATTATCCCCGGTATGGAGACGCCAAACCTTTCTGGTAGGGGAATGTTTTGTTTATCAACAATCAACCAACAACGCACACTCGAACAGGCATTGGCAACTGTTGGGGCCATGCCATCTCCGCAAAGGAACCAATGAAAACAACGACACGGAAAAACGTGTGACACGGGTCGGTGTCCGTTTCGGAGCGCAAGGGATTTTCCGCGTCCAAGGCCGATCTCCTCCATTACCGAGTCCTTGCGCTTGGAGAACAACGGGCCTTTGGAGGCGCACCGCTCGGACCAGCGCGTTGGATCGGGCGGCTCGTTGGATTGGTCGACTCCACCGGAAAGGCCATGGTGGGCGTCGCCCCAACTGGGCCTGATTTCTCATTGTCCGGGGAGGACATGGACCTGTCTGGAGGATGGAGGATGGAGGATGTTTGTACTTGTTGGTGTTGTTTGGTTCCTTGAATGGTGATTGGTTTGTCAAATCTTTGGCGTGTTTGTTTTGCATGACTTGCCTGATTGATCAGGCAGTTGAGGTGTTTTTTTTGTTTTTTTCTGGTGGGTATTACCGTAACTTGGGATTGCTTTGGTGTTAGCGATATGCTATTTAATGATTTGCTTTGGGAGTCGGAGGGTCATCGCAGGCAGGAAGGTTTACACCCAGAACTCTCTCTAGTGGAAGCTGGGCAAGCAGGTGTTAGTTGGCAACAAGAGTACATGGCGTGAATTCATTCGTCTATCATCATCTATCATCATCCATCCATTGAAGCACCCAACAATGCCTCTTCACAGGTCATGGCAAATCTGTGGACCTCGGCCATGACCTATAGGCCTCTGATGGATCCGCATCCTGCCGCGACCAACCTGTCGACATGCTTCCTGGTTTCACGGCTTCCGCCGCGCGAATCGTCTGCCGTGGAACGTTCTTTCGACCGCCAGGTCCGCTTTACGGTGCAGGCGAGGCTCGCGACTGACGTCGCGGATGGGACAGAACCCTGGTGCGATTAAATCGCCGGGGGTCTCCGTGGATCGCCGGATATCAGCCACTTCATGGTGATCAATGGCGTGTGGTGTTTCCCATCCAAACTTGGAACCATTTGGAACCCAGATGAAGCACATTGGCTGGATGCCGGATCTGCCTGGTCTTTCCCGCCTGGATCCAAAGGTCCTACCTCGGCACTCGTTCATTTGGACGGATCGGTTTGTGTGTGTGTGTGCACCGATCAGTAGTACAAGACGAAATTGGTTTGTCTTATTCGATGCTTTTCAAGAAGTGCGGTTGTTTCAGAGTGCACGATGTACACGGCACAAGCATCTCTAAACCGTTCTAAACTATTCTACAAGGTTATTTGTTGTTCATGATTCATGTCTTGTGTTGTGCCCCACCTGTGAGTACAATATGGACCAGGACCGACCATGATCCTAATGGATCCGCTCAATCTGTCCCAAACAGCGGATCGATTTCCTTGAATCCGCTATGTGTCCGGCTGCTTGACCCTTAAATCCAGCAAGCTCAAAGACGTTTGACCCTTTGAAGATCTGTTTCAGAATGTTTGGAGGGGGATGGAAGTCGCCAACGTTAACCATCAAAGAAGCAAGGCTGCATTACATAGTCTATAAAATTATAGAACCATTAGAACCATGAATGAAATTAGAACCAATAGAACCATTAGAACCATTAGAACCAAAGGTTCATAGAACCACCAGATACTTGTGGGCATCAGGGATTGAGTGGACGAGTTCGATTCCGGTCCGTATACGATGGCCCGTTTATTAAGGGAGTTGTGGCTACAGGTTTGGCCTGCATGATGGATTTCATTTTTGAGCTCAGAAGTGGGTACCAGGAAGTTGGAGCGCCAATGTCGGCTATTTATAGGGTTGATAATGTAATGAATGATCATGTCAAATCATGTCGTTTCGCCGAAGTGTGAGGGACTTGGCACCCAACCATTGCTCACACCAAGCGATGCCCAAATGCAAAGACAGGCGTGGGTCCAAAAAGACATGAACATATACTTGAACCCGTCTCTTGTGGACGTCTCTTAACACTCTGCTTGCATGGAGGTGCGGTTTGATCGTTTCTTCGTTCTCCGGTAGAGACGTTGGCAGGTGCAGTACCCCTTCAGCACGGATATTGAGGAGGGCGGCATCCCTCCAGATGGATCCCAGGAGATTTTGGTGGACTTCGACCCAGGTTACAAGGCCAGATGTGAGGGGACAGGACATGACAAGAATTCTCTATACGTTTTGCTGTCTCTTTTGCAAGTCTGCCTCTACGGCCTCAGCATTGGTTCTAGGTGAAGCACGGAGTACAGAGTAAGCGATCAACTAAGACTAGGATCAACTTGTTTGTTCTGTGAGTGATTCAGGTTCTGGAACAGTGGAGAGTGACTTGAGGTCTTTTGCACTGGATTTTGGGCAGAAGACTTCTGTTCAATCGATCCCACAAGGGGGCTCAGGTGACACGAGACCGGACAGTATGAGGACCGACCAATCCAAGTATCTACACCCTGGAGGACTAGCACGGACCCTGAAAACCGCTGGTTGGTAGAGGAAAACAATCTTCCAGGGAGCCATTGCCAGGGTGCATTTGTTGGTTTTTGGGAGGGTAGAGTTTGGCTTAAGATTTTAGAGTGGCTTATCCCTCCTGTCACTGTGGAAAGGTCTTTTGAGGTGCGCGACAGCATGTCCGCAAGTCCAAGACCAATCCAAGTGCTCTCGCACTCTTGTTTTCGTTGGGTTTGTCCTATTATATACCTGTAACAGTCAGTAAACAATTATCTTCCACGTTTACTGGTAATTATAGGATAAACCGATCCCAAAGTATCCTCACTACTGTGAGCTGAGCTGTTACACTGTTAACTCAATCTCAATACTGGAAGGTCTACTGATGCCCACTGAGCCCGATACAGCTCGAGAGACATCCACGTGACATTCAATGAGAAACACCATGGGTATCAGCCAACGACAGATTCGACAGATTTCAACAGCACGTTTCAAAAAGGGCGTCAGGGAGGCATTCAATCAATAATTATCTACCCCTCCCATTCCTTGCGTGGGTAGTAGACTGTGTAAGGACAACCAGAAAGTGAGATTTCAAGAACCTATTGCTTGACACAAAATCAGTTGCAGCAAAGCACCTACAATCCTCTACAGATATATTCTGTGGTTATGCCAAACTTGTGACACTATCAAAGAATTGAACAACCTTGGCTTGGTTGTCAAATAGGATCGAGAGCATCACAGGACCTGTACCACTCGACCACTCTGGTCTGATTCTAACCCCAAAGAATCCATCCCCTTGGGCATTCGTTCGACTGGTTGACACGAAGGATCCCATTTGCCTCGGTGGACCCGTCGCAGTTGGAGTGATCTATCCATTTGACCAACGAAGCGAGCCACCGAACGGACCTCCAAAGTGACCGAGTGACACCAGGTGGACCGCAAGAGCGGCACCGTGAAGCAACGCCGCTCGCCACCACGAGCACCCCGTGGGGTTCGATCGTGCGGGGCGTCGGTGGTCGATCGGATCCGCTCCAAACCGGAGGGGAAAGGGGAATGGGTCACTGGAGGGTCAGGAGGGTGGCGTCCTGTGTGGGAATGTCGTCGGTTCAAGGTCCTTAGGTGCCAGATGGGCTGACTTGGTGGAATGATCCTGGGGAGAGGAAGCTGCTGATCATGTGTTTGCCAGCTACATTATGATTATGAGAAACATTCAGAATCTTCACAATGTACTTGTGGCAAGAGCTTTTGATGGCTATGAGGCTATGATAGCTATATTTAATAGTTGTCACACGAATCTTGATAGGGGACGCCAACAACGATGATACTCCTGAACGACATTTTGTAGACTGTCCTGCGGACTCGATGCGACGACGGGGGTTTTCCCAAGTTGTGCCGCTGTAGACGATTTTTAGCCAAAGATCATGATACATGCGCAGTGTATGCCAGACGTAGCCAGCGCTGTTGTTTGCAGCTTTTGCTGGCTACATCTGGCTACGATCACTTCCCTTCCGTTGCTGTCGACATGGTGGTTGCACCACCACAATCCACACATCACTGAGGAACATTGTGATGCAATTCAGCTGAGCTCCTTTTGTTGTGCTGCTGTTGGTCACCACTGCTGTGTTTGACTGTCGTCCCCGGGCGACCACTGGTGTGAAACAACGGTGCCTCCTGACCACTCGACTCAAAAGCAGCACTCCTAGTCAGGCCGCAGGTGAAAACCCAGAGCCCCAGTCAGTAGGGTAAGTTGACCTCCTGTAGATCGTCCATTCTCTTCGTTTTGACCCCAATCGTCTCACCGGTCGGTAGACCCCGAGTCGAACCGGTGCTTCCACAAGGGGTAGAACGATGAACACCGTCCGAGGCATGGCAATCCAATACGATGAACACCCTGCGGTGAATATGGTGGACCTGGTGGGGAAGGCTGATCGGAGGGATGGAATGGGTTCGGGGGATGGATCAGTGGACTACTCTCCCTGGAAGTGGAAAACCACCTGTTTGTAGTGGAACATGGTTTTCCAAAAGGCCATTCTCCACTTCCATGTGAGCTCCAGGGAGTGTATGATGGAGATGACCTATCCACATCCACATCCACGTCATTGAACGACATGGTTGTCGCCTAGAGCGAGGATGGAGTACATGAGGAATTAAAGGAGTACATGAGAGTTGTTACATGTTGTTACCATGATGTTGATGTGGGCGATGTTTATGCGCTTGGCCAGTGTTATGTTTCTTGAACATACATTTGGGGTAGAGGAGAAGCATGGAGAAGG